GTCACACAGCTTCTGCTACCTTGAGCATGCTTCATATTTTAACTTTTTTTTTCTCTTCTCTTTAGAATGAGGACCCCTTGAGCCCTTGCAGAATGATCCAGTGGCTCCATGCACCTTTGGGAGGTGATGAGCTGGGTGCTCTGCTCTGCCAGGCACTGTTCTGGGCTGCAATATGGAGATGTTAGAGAGATGACTGGATGATTTTGCTCATCTAACAATGATGTGGTAAGCTGAATAAGTAAAATAATGTGCCTTGCAGGTGACGCACTGTCATTCTGAAGGTAAAGGGCTACAGTAACGTTGCCAGGTAAATAAGTGTCAGGCACTGGCTGCAACAGCTGAGCCTTTGTGTCCTTAGAGATTCCTATCTAAAGCCTCTTCTCCCTTCTGTCCAGTGGTGGAGCAGGATGGCTTTGGACTGGGGTACCACTGGGGAGCCTGGCTTGGGCTGCACGTGGGGATAGCCACGAGCCTGCCCTCTTCAGAGAGTCCTGGGAGAACTTCCTGTGAATTGCCTCAGGTAAATAGAAGAAAGGGCAGCAATTTTCAGTGCAGCATGGCAGGATGTGGTATTTTAGAGAAGGTTGCTAGCTGAGGGGCAGCTCCCCATTCTAGTGTAAATCCAGTATTGCCTCACCCAGTTCTGGCTTCAGGCCCTTAAAATTACTGCTGGGGTCAGGATGTGCCCCCGAGCATTTGCAGGTTGAGCCATTGCACAAAAACGAGTGGGTGAGTGCTGGAGGATGTGTTTGGTCAGAGGAGAGCTGTTCAGTGCACGCTGTGTGAAAACCAGAGCAGCTGAAGCCCAGGACAGTGTGCTAACAGCAGGCAACTTCCCAAGAGTATTCCTAGCAGGTGGCAGTCCTCGGCAGGCCTGCAGCACCTTACCCCATCCCTGAAGCAAAACCACGCCCGGCATGCCCTGCTGAACTCTGCCTAGTGCCAGTGAGAGGCAGCAGCTGAGCCACAGCATGGCACAGGGCGTTTGGCAAATGATCAGGCTGTGTTCCCCACTGCCTGCTTTTCAGGAAAGCCTGTGGAAAGAAAATGTAAAGCCCCACTGCTGTCATTTGGTAGCATCATACTCCTTAGCACTGTTGCATGTTTCATGAGATTAAGCAGGGTCCCTGGAGTTGATGTTGTCTGAGAAGGTACCCCTCAGATTTTCAGGAGGGGCTGTTTTTTCATTTGTATTGATAAAAGTGACAGAAATTCCACAAAATCTTGTCATCACAGGGCCAGCAGATTCTGTTCTTTTTGTATTTTCTCCTTAGACATGCTCTAAAAGACATGCTCAAATTTGGAGTGATGGAAAACACAGAACACTGGGCAGACTTTCCTGGGAGAACAGTACATAAATTCTTCCCTTTCTGGACATGTTTTGGTCAGGTGACCCCAGCTTCAGTCAAGTCTCCAGGAAAGGAGTGGAGCACAGGGAGAAGTCACCATCTTAGGAAAATGATTCTTTGCTGATGGCTTTCTCGGCAGGGAGGCACAGCCACCTCAGCACCTGCATGTCTCAGAGGCCAACAAACTCCACCAATATCCAGAGAGGCAATATCCAGGCCTTTCCCTTCCTTCCTCCCCAACACCCTGACTATGCACTTGCATGCTCTTTATTACAGCAATCTCGATTTACATCAGCAGGAACTGGAGTCACACATGCCTCACTTCAAAGCTACCTCCCTGGCTGTGAGGGATCTGCTGCTGATAGCAGCAGATAGTGGTGTCTGCAGTTTGCAAGTGAAGTGAAAGTCTGGTGAGCTGCCCAGATAGACACCACTCCGGTTTGAGTCATTACCCTTTTCCACCTGTTCTCAGCTGGATGCATGAGAAAAGATAACTCATGTTCAAACACCAGGTCAGCTCTGCCTGCCCCTGCAAAATAAACATTTGATGTCAGTGAAGATCATTAATGGGATGGTGTTTCAGGTACTTCCTTTCCCTTCACGCATTTCTCGGGGGTTTTATCAAAAGTAAAGAGAGTGAATAAGATCCCGGCAGGCACTCAGACTCTCCTGGAAGCAATGGTGTCCTAGTGCGCTCCGGCAGCTGTCAGCATGGGTGGCACTGCTCCTCCTCAAGTCCATGTATGCCCCGGATCATCACGGCACAGCTGGGAAGTGATGGCTGTGTGCTGGCCTCCACCTGTTCCACAAACAAGGACAGGGATCCAAGGGACGAAGAGATATCACCGACATCACCTGCACTGCGTGCTGCCAGGTGCTGTCTGAGCCCAGTCTGTGCTGAAGGTTTTCAAAATGATGGTCAAGGCCCGGGGAGGACTAGCCAGGCTCCTGAACCCATCTCGTCTCACTTCACTGCCAGCCTGTGGAAAACCAGGTCAGGCTCAGGGCAGGTGCCAAGCATGCAGCCCCCTGCACAGGTTCCCTGCTCCTCTGTAAGCTGCACCCATTTGGGGGTGCTCGCCAGCCTTTGGGGCAGCTCCCTGTCCCCTGGGACCGACCTCATGGAACAGCCAGAGCAAGGACTCTCTGAGCAGCAGCTCCAGCCTGGGTGTGCTGCCAGCAAACCCCGGGTGCTGCCGGGAGCGAGCGGTGGCTCAGTAGGTGGCACTCTGCATCCACAGGGAACCAGTGCCTTCCCGAAGGAGAGCCCTGCCCTTGCAACCCTAGCAACTCACCCCCAGGCCCCGCTGCAGTGGGGCAGCCCAGGGGGCTGAGCCCTGCAGCCCCCCTCAAGGCTTCTCCACCTTGTACAACGCCTGGGGATACCCTCTGGAAGTTCATCCTGGGGACAGAATCCAAATGTCCTTCCAGCCCTGGAAGAGGGCAGCGGCCAAGCTTAGTGTCTTTTCCCTCACAGCACACAGAAGAGCTGGGGCTTGTGGCAGATGCCACCCAGAATGTCCTGAAACGTGCGGCCTCTGGAGAGTGTTTTCTTCCAGAAACAGCCAAGCAGGGCTCGGCCAGGAGGCTGCCATTTGGGAAGAGCTCCCCTGATGTCCCACCAGAAACTCTCCGTGCATAACTGGGCACCCATCACCATTTTGCTGCACTTTCTGGACTTGAGCAGTTGTGCTGGTTTATACCAGGCTGCCCCTTCTTCTTCAAGGTCACAGGGAGGACTAGCAGGAGGAAGTTGATGAAATGACAAATTCAAATCATGGCAAGCCAAATTTCTTGCTGCGGGCAGTCAGTGAGATGGAGCTATCAGCTGGAGACTGGAGAAGAGAGGGAACGTGGTGAGTCAGCTGCTGGATATGCCGTGTTTGGTCTCTAAACAGTGCAGGTAACACGAGCAATTGTGCTTGGGACATGCAGCCTTTCCCCCATCAAGCCTCTTCTAAATTGCTCAGCAGTTTGCCAAGTGCAGCAAACGGGACGGGAATGTTCAGCGCTCAGTTTACTTCTCAGACTGGACTTAAAAAAATTGAAATGTTTCCAGTGAATCTCTGATTTTAAAAAATGGGAGAAATATATATTTTTTTAACAGCTGAAGAAAATTTTTGGGAGAAGTTGCAGTGCCTGGCTGAGGAAGCTAGCCTTGAGCACAGCAGGAGGGAGGAAGAGAGGGGAATTCCTGGCTGACAAACCTTCCTTTGGCCATTCTCAAATCACCAACCCCATGTTTCAGCAGAAGACACCCCAAACCACAAAGTCTCTGCCTCTGGAGAAACTCCCCTCACATGCAAATGATCTCTGTGAACTCCAGGCACTGAGACTTACGGAGGTCTTGCAGGAAGGGAACTACAGTCCAAGGGGGAAAGGAGGAGCCCTGTGAAGCCCCTGGCTGTTCCCCAAATAGCCCAGGAGCTGCTTGATGATGCCTGCAGAGCTCTCTGACCTGGGGTTGCGGTGATGAGCAGGATTTGCCTTTTCTCTGCTGTACCACTGAGGACAGGCAGCGAAGGGGAAACATGACAAAACCCCCAGAAGTGAAGCTGTCAGCTCATGCCAGCTGTTTGAGACAGTTTCAATTGCACCATGCACAGAAGGGCTGTCGAAGGTTTGCTGGAGCTGTCTGTGTCAGATCAACATCTGAGTGACTGATTCAGCATCTTCTTTTCCAGACCTCTTGGGCATTGCCTCTCGGGATTGGCATGACCTGGCAAAGGCACTGAGAGCCACATATCATGTGTACCCATGGAAGAAGGGAGAAAGTTCAATGACTGAACCACTTGGATCCCTGCCACCTTGGGCAAAGGCTCCATCAGTTTCCTGAGCCGTGAGTAATATTCTGTCTGTCCTTTCTCAGTTAAAAGGCCCAGATCCTCCTTTCCCAGTGCAGCATTGCCACTCGCTGCCCTCCCAGCCCGCTGTGCCGTGGGACCGGAGCAGGTGGATACCTGTCCCTCCATCCTCGACCCCCTGGGCTTCTCTGGTTTCCCATGCTAGGCCAGCACATTACAACCTGCTGTCCCCGTTCTTCTCCCCTCAAAGCAGCAGTTCCCTCTACAACTGCCTGAAAGGAGGTTGTAGTGATGTGGAGCACCCGGTCTCTTCAGCTGTGCCTGCAGTGAGAGTACTAGAGGAAATGGCCTTAAGGGAGGCTCGGATTCGATACTAGAACATTATTTTTTCGCTGTTTGGGTGCTCAGGCACTGGATTAGGTTGCCCAGGGAGGCGGTGGACTCACCATCCCTGGCGGTGTTCAAGAAGCATCTGTATGTGGTGCTGAGGGATGTGTTCTTCAGCAGCCCGGAGAGGTGTCCGTGGGCAGGTGCCCTGCGGGGAGTTCTGCCGGGGCAGCTGTGACTCGCAGTGGCCCCGAGGAGCACATTTGTCCCTTACTCAGCCCTTACTCACTCGCTGCTCAGGGAGACGCCGCCAGCGAGGCGAGAGGGGTTGGTGACCGGGTTTATCTCTGGAAAACACTCCTCCGGGAGACGCGGGGAGAGCAAGGAGCAGCACCCGTCCGACAGACAGGTGTGCCCGCAATAATCCGGCGCGATCCCGGCTCCGTGACTTGCCCAGGGAAGCTGTGGGTACCCGATCCCTAGAGTTGTTCCAGGCCAGGCTAGTCGGACGGGGCTTGGAGCAATCTGGTCTAGTAGAAGGGGGTGGAATGAGGTGGCATTCAATGTCCCTTGCAACAACAACAACAAAAAAAACATCGGGAGATTATGCGTTTCTGGGATTCCGTCATTCTGTGATTCTGGGATTCCACGATCCCCGCTCCGCCTCTCTGACGCCTCTCCCGGTCTCCGCCCCCAGATCCAGCATAAAGCGGGCGGCGGAGGCAGGCGGCTCCTCATGGAGCGCTGCGCGCCGCCGGCACCTGTTGTGCTACGGCGACTCCTTGCCCCGTTTCCATCTGTGTGTCTCTGTCGCCACCCGCCCCGGTTCGGACGATGCGGGCCGTGCTGCTGATGGCCGCGCTGGCCGTGCTGGCAGGTGCGTGAGGGACGGGACGGGAGGACGGGGGACGGACATGGGGACTCGGTGGAGCCCGCGCTCGCGCCTGAGGGGGAATCGCGCCTGGTGGGGGGGCGTAGGCGGGAAGGCGCTGAGGCGGCTGAGGGGCCCCTGAGGCGAGTGAGGGACTCCGCGCTCGGCGGCGACCCCCTCTGCCCCCCGCTCACGGCGCCCTTTCCCCTCCCTCAAAGCGAGCTGGGCCGCCGGGTCCTCGCCCAACGCCACGGAGCCGCAGCGGCACGAGGAGCGGGAGCCCGGGAGCCGTGAGGGCGAGCCCGTGCCGGGTCCTGACTACGAGGAGGATGAGGAGGAGTACGAGGAGGCGCCGCCCGTCCACCGGTACATCGTGGACGACTTGATCCGAGGTGAGCCGGCTGCGCCGGGGCTGCGATCTCGCAACTTGCGAGTCCAAACTTACGCGTTTTCTTTCTTTTAAACGCTGCTACGCTTGGCTCGTCGATTTTGGAGCAAAAACGTGCTTGTGCTTGAAGCTGCTGCTTTAGAAATAGCTGTTAGGGGTGGAAGCCGAGCGTGAATGTGCCCAGGGTGTGTGGAAGCTACAGGCCAGCCGGCAGCTGGCTGTGCGTAGCTTTATTTCCTGATAAACCTCACAGGAGGGCTGTGGTCAGGTGGCGACCACCTGCTCAGTGTGGAAGCATCGGCGGAGATTTAGGTGCTGTTTGGCCATGAAGGTTTGTTTTATGCCTAGCTGTCTGTTTTGCTGTAAGAATTTTTCTGGGTGATTTCTGATGGTGGCTTATTTGGGTAGGAGTCAGCTGAAATTTTCTTGGGAAAGCAGACACTTAAATCCCTCAAGTGGCCACAGGAAAGTTTGTTAGGCATCTTTAGGCCAATGTTTCACTGTCAATAGCTGTTGTGTGTATTTATCGTAATTTGCCCGCTTGCTGAGCTGTGAGGAGATCTAAGCCTTACTGTGGGAATGGGAGCATTTTGTTGGTTCTGGGCTGAGTGTAGTTGCAGTACAAGCCAGGTATCTACAAGCGATTTGAACCTCAGTAGGTGTGAGTAGGCTGGTCCTGTTGCCTCCGGGGTGGATCTGACTGCTGATTTTCCTGCAGAAGCACCCTGAAACTTGAATGTGACTAAAGGACCTCCTAAATTAAGTGGGACCGCGCTCTGTGTGGTCACTTGAGGGAACTGGTGGACTTCTGCTGAAGTTATCTGTGAAGATCTCTGGGGGAAACGCGTCTGTCGCTGTTATGGAGCAGTTTAGCCTGTCAAACCACTGGCTTGGTGACTGAAGTGCTGTCTTAACTGCCCAGAAACCAGACCTGTTACCTAAGGTGGTTGGTTTGTAGACCAGCTCTTCTGCTTGGCATGGGGTTTATCTGTGGGTAAACCTTGAAGCTGTTGTGATTCAGCTGTGGATGGCTTTCCTGGCCTTGCAGCCTGCAGACAGGGACACAGAGATCGAGCTGACAAGCTGAGCCTGGGAGAGGGAGGAAGGGAAGCGGCCTCAGTTATGAAAGCGTGAACCTCACGATCAAGTCAGACGGGACAGAACAGGGGCTTTTGACTGTCAGCAGCGAGCTCACACTTCCAGGCACAGGAAACCTGGCTGCAGGAACTGTGTGCTTAGTTTACATATTAATATAGCTCATACGGTTTTAATCAGACTTCTGGTTGCTGAAGGCATTTTTGCTTTTAAGTAACTTCAAGCCAGGCTTGTTGCGCTAGAAGTGAAAATCATCAGCTGTCTAGACAACAGTGAGCTACACCTTGTTTCTTTGAATGGGCTCTCAGCACCAGAAATACAGGGTTAGGAAGTAGTTAGATCCAGTCGTGCCCTATTGTGGTGCTTACCTGTATGCATAGAGCTGAGGGTAAAATATTAATCACCCAGAAATTATTTTCATTAGGTCTTCAGAGCACAAGAGCAAACTGGAGCTTGCTGTAAATAGCTCTGCTGTTTCCTAGGGCCTATTTAAATCCCTGGGTGACTGTTACTCCTGGGCAGCAGTGTGGTGCTGTCAGGGCTGCTTTAGGGATAGCAGTGCAGGGGCTGGGTTTTTGCTGCACCAAGTTAGTCCAAACTGGTGCTCTTGAGCTTGGATTGCTGCATGGGGCAGCTCTGGAGCTTCTGACCCTCAGTCAGTGGCTGGTTTGTTCTCCTCAGCGAAAGGAACGTGATTGCCCTTGCTTAAATCCAAGGGCTACTAAGTCATGAGGATTTTAAACCACACTCTTCTAGAGGTTTGTCTTAATTGAGATAATGAGGGGCAGCAGTAAGCGGCAGAATAAATAGCCTGACTGTTGTGGACTCCTGCCTGCGCTCCTTCCCCATGCTCAGCATCTCTCACAAAGTAGGAGAATTGGAAAGGAACTCTCTCCTTCTGGAGACAGCACTGCAGGTTGTTTAGGAGAAACAAGTATGCCAACCGGGATAGCAAGCTGCTTTGCCTCGGCAAGTGCCCAGGACTATCTAGCGAGTTACAGTGCCTTTCATCACTGATGCAAATGGAGAGTTTAGAGACAGGGAGCTATTAGCCTCATACCTGAGCCCATGTAAGACTAGAGGATGGCTTGGCTCAGCATGAACTCCCTGTTCTTTACAGGCCCTTGCTTGAAACTGTGCTGTTGCTCTCAAGTGTCTTGTGCTGTGAAATGCTGGGGTCCTGCATCTCTGCTGCTCTTCATCTTTGCTGGCTCTTGGCTCATCTGCTTCTGCTGCCTCTAGTGTGCATGGCACAGGACTGAAGCGTAGCAGAGGAGTGCTTCAGTGAGCTGCTGAGCTTGCTGCCTTTGTGCTGGGTGTGAGATGCCCAGCAGCATTCTCACTTGCATCCTGTGCTTCCCGGTCACAGATTGTCCTGCGGTGATGGTCCTCCTGGTTCTCATCAAATTCTTCAATTCAATTTTCTCAGAATTGTGCTTTCTAGCACTTCTGTACCAAGTCATCGTGTCCTTTTTTCAGTTGAACCTGTGGTTAAACCCAAGCCAGCAAAGAGGGGGGGAGAGAAGAATGCTGGCAAATCAAGAAGGAAGAAAAACAGAGGGAAAAACAAGAAGAAAGGGACTCCCTGTGAAATGGAATACAAAAACTTTTGCATCCATGGAGAATGCATATACCTAGAACACCTCCAGATGGTGACCTGCAAGTAAGTTACTTGTAGATTGTGATTTAGGTGTCATTACCATGAGCCAGTGGCATATGAGGGCTCAGAGGAAAAAATCAGTGTCAACTTGGTATAGATCCATCTCCTGCCGTATTTTGACTGAGAATCTTTCTGCCATGTAAATTAAGTGATGATGGAATCTGAGATGCATAACAAGCCACTGAACTCATCAGTTGGTCATAAACTCAAAGCAAAAGAATGAAAAGGCGTGTCTTTCTGGAACATCACACCCAAACTAATCTCGACTTGTTGAAATGCTGACAAACCTTGTGCTAGAGCAGTGACTGCATTTCACGAACCTGCTCCGAAGTGAGCACCTTGAGATTCATGGGAAACTTGGAAGATGTCTAAGTCAGGTCTGAGTATGTGTGGGTGTCCTTGGCTCCAGACAGCACAAGAGCTGATAAGAACTTGTGTTAATATTTACTTGCAGGTGTCATCAGGATTTTTTTGGTGAGCGCTGTGGTGAACAGTTCATGAAGACTCAAAGGAAGAATGATGTGGCAGACTACTCAAAGACTGTGCTGGTAGTGGTAGCTGTGCTGCTCTCGAGCGTCAGCTTCATTACTGTACTTATCATTGTGATAGTGCAGTAAGTATTATGCTCTTTGGTGTCTCACTTCCTTAAGTGTGAGCGGAGCCTGTGCCCAATAACCACAGAATGTGCATGGCTCATCTGAATTACCTTTGTGAAAAGCAGCTGGAAAGGATGGGCTCTTATCCCAGCTTGGATATGTCTGAAGGGTAGAAGCAAGATCCGTGACCCTTATATTGTCAACCAGGAGCATTTCTGCTCTTGCTACAGCCAGGGTTGTTAGACTGCTGCAGAACAGCAGCAGGAAGCCCAGGATGAGCATTAATGCTGACACAGAACTGCCTTTCCTAGTCCTGGTGGGAAACCTGCAGCAGGGGTGTGATAGCCTCATACATGGCTATTAGCCAACAGCTGCATGCACAGGTGGAGGGTAGGGAATGGTGCTCCAGAGTCCATTTGTTAATGGATGTTGCTGGGCTTAAATGCCTACGCTTGGAGGGGAAGCAAGTGGGGAGGAAATGTTGGTGATCCCAAATTCTGCTTGCTGTTATTAGGAAGGGAACACCATTTCAGCTGAACTAGCTCCTGTAGTTCAGTAGTTCAGTATGGTGGGTTGTCAGTCTCGAGTCCTGGTGAGAATAAATTCCAAGAGCTCTTCTGGGTATGTGTTTCAAACCATATAACAAATTGAATATTGAAGTAGTCCTGCAGTTCTGTCACTGCAGCTCCAGCACCATAGGGCTTGGATATTATAGTAACTCCGAGGTTCAGTCTAATTTTAGATCTTGATGAAGCACATCATCTGAATTGGTACGTGCTGTACCTTTTCCTGCAATTCAGGAAACAAGGTACACTTTGTCATTTCAGTGTTGCTTCATATTTAACTCTAAGCTTGAAGAATGCTGGGATGATCACTTGTACTGTGGACACTGCCTCATTCCTTGCTGCTAGGAGAGATAACCAGTTCTGTAGTGCTCTAAGAGCAAATGATTATTGGTAGTTTATGAAGTGCATTTGCTTGATGTTCTGAACTCTCACAAGGTGGCTGCATGCTAATCTGTACCCTCATCTGGAGAAGCTGCTTCGAATAGTCACTAAAAAACACTGGGGAAATCAGTAAGGGGCTTCCTTATTATGTATTCAAGAGATGGGGACTAGATTTGAAGCCTGCAGGGCTCTGTTGTGGAGAGGAGGACAGTGTGGTCTCTGCAGCTAGAAGCTAAAGCCACTAGGAAATCTGTCACCCAGAAAGTCTCCTGGTCCTTTGCTCAGTCCCAGCAATAACCTCTCTTCATCTTGCTCCCTAGTCTGATTTAAGCCAACAAACTCTATCTCTGTGAGGCCCAAGTGTTGACATCTAGTTCAGGGGTTCCCTGATTGTATCAGCGGATGCTGCTTGATGCTGAGTGCTTAAAAACTGTCTTGCTTGAAACTCCCCAGAGTGCCAAGGAGTTGCTTGAGGAATTAAAGAACATGAGTCTAAATGCGGCACAGGATGGGGAAGCTGGTGACAACAGGATGTTCATCAGGGTTCAAAATTATCTCTAATGTGCCATAATTTCACAGGGTCAGGAAAAAGTGTCCTCAGTATGACGAGAAAGAAGAAAGGAAAAAACTCCGACAAGAAAACAGAAATGGCCATGTTGGTGTATAAATGGGGAGAAAGCAGGTATGAATGCTGAATTGAAACACCTTTCAGTCCTTCCAGGCTGTATGGGAATTGCATGCTTGTTTTGCAAAGCTAGTGTTTGCTTTTCATGCTCCATGTGTCTTGAAACACATAGGTTACACGTGAGCAGCTGGCTTGAGTTTCTGGTTTCTCAAAACCACCTTGAGTTGTACAAGTTGTTCAACAGCTCTTAAATTTCTGGCTGTCTTAACGACCAAGTGAGGATGGGAAGCTGTACTGAGATAAGTGGAGCTGTGAAGAGGAAGTCCTGAATATCTGGACAGAGGCAGATGTAGTGCAGGAAACAGTGGTAGACTTCAGTCATGGAAGATGGTGCTGCAGCATCATCACCTTTTAGAGGAAAAGTACTGAGCGTTTTCATGGCTTTCCTGCAAGGAGAGTTCAGGAAGTTTCTGGTGCTCAGAAGCTGTGGACCAAAAGGAAGCTGCGAGTTGTGTGAGCACCACAGGTAGCCTCTCAGTCAAGTTTCATACTGTCACAGCAACTGAGGCCCAAAGCTCCTTGGCATATGTGGATTGCTTCTGGGAGTCATCTAGTGGATTTTACTGAGCAGGCAAGTTGGTCTTCTCTGAGGCCAGGTGTAAGTGACAGCAGATTCAAGGACCATTATTGGAAAGGAGTTATACTACAAGCTGAGGAGGAAGATGGTTCTGAAAAATTCCAGCAGACCTGTGGAGTTTTGCTTTGCCACATGTCAGCTCTAGATATTTTCTAACTTTGTCCAGTGACAATTGGAGGGTTTTGCTTAAAGCTTACTTGAAGCTGAAGAGTGTCTGGCAGTGTCCTCAGGTGTGTGCACAGCCTTAACCTACGTGCCTTGCTCGGTGGTTTGCCGTGGTGCTGGCACAGGGTGCTTGTGTCTCAGATGGTGATTAATGTGCCTGGTCTGCCCGTTACAGAGCAATTCTGAAGTGGCCTTTGCCAAGCTGCGAGGTACCTCTGGCTGCCTGACACATCCACCTGGACACTGTGGGCTGGAGCTGTTGCCACCAAGCCCTGATTCATCAAGAGAGAGGCTGCTGCAAGGAGACGTCAACAGGCCACTTGCTGCTGAATCGCTTGCTGAGGAGACCAGTTATCACTGCATCTTGGCACAACAATGTGGAAGGAGCTGGCTCCTTGGGGGACAGTACCTGTTGTCAACACCTGCTGAAAACTACTGCTGCTGAGCCTTCTCTCTCTGTCCTAGAGCTCCTGTCTCGGCTGTTGTGTGGATGGACTTTGTTCTCTTAGCAAGTCTCCTTTGGCAGCTCTAGCTCCCGGGGGGAGAATGTGTTGCTGCTTTCAGCACTGGATGGAGGGGAGGAAATTCGCTTCCTTCGCTCTACAAAAGTGAGAAAGGGAAAGAGGTTGGGACGGCTTCTCTCCCTAGACCTCAGTGGATGAAAATCTTAATTCTGTTGTCACTGTGCTCCCTGTCCATATTGGTTTCAAGAGCTTCATCTGTAGATGTGACTTGGCAGGGCGTTGGTGACAGATCTTTGTCAGCCACATCTGGGTTCTGTTACTGTGTGTGTGGAAGTAATCCCTACGAGTTCTGTAGGACATGTGGTGTGAGTGGAGCTATCCATTTGTGTGTGCTGGCCCGAGTTAAAATTAGTCTCCTCGGGACAGTGGATGCAAGACCTGAAGCTTTGCATCTAAAGGAAAAAATCCATGCTCCAGACAACTGATAAGACTGGACCCATCTCTTCTTCTAAACACAAAGCTATTCTGTTAAACAGATAATTCTTGCTGCTGCTTTAAGCAGTGCTTAAATATAAAAGGCTTCCCATCACTTAAACTTGACTAAGAACCTGTTCTTTTGAAGAATTTAATTCAGTCACTGATGCTTTGCAGATAGTGGTCTCTTGTGCTCTGACTTCAGGTGTGAAGAACTCATCTTACCTCAATCTCTTCTGACCCAGGTGTCCCTGGTTTCTTAACTGTCCATGCAGTCTTGAGCACAGTATTATTTGAGTTCAGTTTCTTCTTGGAAGAGTGATTGTGTTCTGTATAAACAGGGCAGAATTTTTCTGGTAGCAGAGAAACACCATTAATTGTCAAGTTGAACCTGTAAATGTGTAAATATTTATTACTGTATTTAATATTTAAAGTTGCCATAAAGTTATTTATTTCATTATTAAACTTTTTACATAACCTAATCATGTAAGATTTTTTCTTGCTCTCAGGTGTACATGTAAACACTTGAAATTAGAGCTTGGTTTCTCCTCAAAGCAAGAATTTCAACTCTAGGGAGCACTGCTGTGAGGAACTGCAGCCGTGTGTCAGGCATGGGCTTGGTGCTCTTACAGGAGTGCAAACTGTTTGTAAACAAAATGTACAAATGCAAGTACCTGTTTGGGTAAGAAATCCATTTCATTCAGCTACCAGGGATCTTCTGGTTCCTGAATTAGGGCGAGGCTAAGTCAGCCGTCTCATTGGCAGCGAAAGTTCAAACTGAGGTTTGAGCAGATGGAGCCCTTTGCACTTGAGTCAAGAGTTGGAATATTGAATGGCAAGAGCCTTTCATCTCTCTGCAGTCAGAGAATTTGGACAGCAGCTTGAAACCTGGTCTTAAATAAATGAGGAAAAGCAGCATAGCCTCAGGCCAGTTACTCCCTAAGCAGAAAGGGAGCCTTGGCCTCCACTGTATGCTTGAAATTTCTTTTCTTCCTTGGTATTTATTAGTCCAACTATGTATTAATGCTCCCATCTAAGCACTTGTAGCAGTGAGCTGTGGTCTAAGTTCAGAGTTGCCTGAAAAAAACCCCAAAGTTTCAAGGAGGAGAATTTGGCTTTATACGGTTAAAAAGAAGGGGATGGAGAAGATTGTTTTGAGGTCCTTTTTTCATAAGCATCTTCAAGAGGTGTTGATGGCTGGGACTTAACTTGAAGCAGACCTGAAGAAAAACCCCAGCCCATCAGTTCTAGTTAGGATGCGGGTTGTGTATCCAGTAGGACTAGAGCGCAGTCCTGCCTGGTGTTGCTGAGATGCCTTAGCCTCCTGAGCTTGCCAGGGAGTTCTCAGGCTCTGAGAGGAGCCTGTGTGGTATGTACCTGAGGTACAGGTAAGGTATTGCAACACCTCTTGGGAAGATTGCAAGACTTCATTCCAGGGAACTTGCTTCATTACCAAAGTAAACAGCGTTTCTCCAAGTGGCTTTTCCACAGACATTTGCTGTTCGAGCTCTGGCAAGAAGAGCTGTTTCTGTCAATCCTGCCAAGATATTTTTGCTTTGGAGTAAACAAGCTTGATCTCAGTGGTAACCAAGTCATGGCCTAGTGAGACTGGGGATGGATTCGAACTCCCTTTTAAAAGCCATTAGACTCTTTTCCAGAAACTTTTCTCTCTGTAGTCTGCCTTTTGGGGGAAGTAACAAGTTTTTTACTTGTTGAGCTAAACCCATGCTAGTGTGGGAAACAGGACTGTTCTCCCTCTTTCACCCCCAGCTTCTAAGCCTGACAGGAGTGAAGCTACCCCTGTAAGTTCTAGATTCTATCTGTTGTGTACTTTTAATACCCTGATTACAGAGTGGGCTGGAAAGTATTTTCTGAAATATGGAGTTGGGAACAGGAGAGGCAACAGTGGAGGGCAGACTTCATAGAAGACTTTGTCCTCTCTGAGGATTTAGGTTACAGCCAGATTTTCTGAGAGGTTGTGCATCCAGCAACTCTACTGCAGGGTTTTTCTTTATGCTTTGCTCCTGGTCAGTCGCATCCAGCACTGCTGCAGCTCTTGCTAGGAGAGCTTTGCTGTGCCTGAGAGATGATGCTGTCTCATGCAGGACAGGGAGCTGCCAGTGTTCCCTGTGGTGGCTTGCTGAGCACTTGGGACTGTTTTCTGTGTTTGGGAAACTAAGTGCAGGGAACTGAGGGCAAATCTCCCTGTCCATGAATGGCATAGGTAATTATAAGTGCAGAACCAACGTATGTAAGAAAGTAAAAATTCCCTTCATTATGCTTTAATCAATTACAAGTTCTGGCAAGCAGTCAGAACTTGTAATTGATTTTTCTACTATGGCCCTGGCTAATAACAGCCTGCTCCAAGCTTCTGAACAGAAGTGTGATGCACAAGCACCATCTAGACCTACAGTGTCCAGTGGGATGGTTGCTTAAAAGAACCCATAATAGGTGGGTGGAGCTGTGTGTCTGGAAGTCTCTTGCTGTCCAAGGATGCTGTGCTTGTGTGACAAGAAAATCTGATTTGCTGCAAGGCAAGGGCAAAGATAATTTTTACTGTTGATCCTGCACAGCCAGATTGGCTCTTCAGGATGTACATGATCTGGCTTTTGACCTTTTCCCCTCACCATGGAGTTACCTTGGTTTCACTGAGCATGCCTGGATTCCTGGTCTCTAACATCTTCTAAGTTATGCCTCCAGATTTTTTGGCCTTCCACTGACAATGCTACTTTGAGAGGAGTGAATCTGTGTCCTCCTCACTTGTAGCTACTTCAGGTAGGACCTGAGGGAGGAGCCTGATGTGCTTGCACAATTTTCTGCACACAGGGCTGATTTGGCAAGGGATTTTTGATATCCAGATCAGTATCCAGGGATAATGTGATGGTCATGCCTTCTTGCACAATTCCTTCGTCTTTCCTGAACATTTTGTTCTCTGTGACTATTGTAGAAAGAACAATAGCTCATCACGGTTTTATCTATTGTGCACTTAATGGAGCTTTAGAGTGTCTGCAGTTGTCCATGACCAGGGAGCTTCCTGTCTGCTTCTGGACTTGGATTCCCTCCTCCTGCCCACCTCCCAGTATGCCCCTTTTCCCTCAGAGCAGTAGCAGATGTTAATCTGAATTTAAGAAGTTTTTTTTCAGTAAATTCAGGTGTACGTGGACATCTGTAAAGGCGTTTGTACTGTCAGTGATCCCAGGTAGCTGTGCAGTGGTTGGCTTCACCCACATTTGAGTTGTTTGATGCCCTTTCCAAAAACTGGTGTAAAGGTTTGAGCCCTTAAAAGACTTGGGGTGTTTTTGTTGCAATATACTTCTACCACTACTGATACCTCAGTAAACTCCCTGAGCAAGCACACCTGAAAGCAAGGCTGTGAACTGGGACAGAAGCTTGTCTGTCTTTGGAGGGGTTTTCTTGCAGTGCTTCAGAGAACAGTGCTGCACTCACCCGGCTCTTGAGGCATTCCTGGACAGGGAGCCATGGCTGCGTGTCCTTGGTGCCTGCTGAATGCATGCTGCTTGCATGGGCAAGGAGCTAGGGCTGCTTTTTGCTGTCACTGTTGGACTCTGTTCACATGGGACAGATCAGTGTACAGAAGGGTCAGACTGTCCTTAATAAGCAAACCTAGCTTCCTTCTTATTTTGTGAGTAAAGAGGTGCATACCTATCTTTCCTCTGCTGGTTACACCTTTCCTGAGCCAGTAATCCTCGTTTGCTGCAGGTCTGGCTTTGTCCATGACTCTGGAGTCGCTCAGCTGAGACAGCTATGCCTGTGAGTGTCAGAGGGATACAGCTATTGTTTGCTTTCCCTAGAGGCCCACAGCCAAGGAAGCAGGATTTGTGCCTTCTTCAGCCAAAGAAGACCTCAGAGGTAGCACATTCCAAGTCCAAAGTAGAAAAATTATTTCAAAATGCATTTTCCTAGTAAGGACTGTCAGTGCATCCTTTTTGAGAAAGAACCAGTTTTCATTTATAGGCTTTTTGTGTCATTAAAATATATCTTTTTGCATATGGTTCAGAAAAATAGCCAATTCTCAGGTCAGCATTTTTTGACTGAAATAATGCAGTCTGTTCTCTTTGCATACTGGGACAAGAAGCAAAGCTAAATAGTCTGGGAGTCTGATCTAATCCAGCATTTCCAATATGTTTTAATCTAGATGTGATACCCTCATTCCAGCACCATGCACCCAAAGTCAGAGAACACTGTCATGGCTTCTAACTGCCTTGGGGTTCCTGCCTTTTGATGCTGTGTTCCAGATCTTGGAAAATAGTTTCCTTCTTTGGGTGTGTTTTTTCCTTACACTGCTGCAGTGAATTTGTTTGTGGGCATCAGACAGCAGTTGGAGGCTGGATTGGTTCGTGGGTGGTGCTGGAAACCTGCTGTTCTTCCAGAGGATAAAAAAATGCTGCTGATGTTCTGCCATTAGTTACATTTGTTTTGCTTAGGAAAGGAAATATTTTCAGCGCTGCAGGTAACCAGTTAAAAAAAAGAGTGGAAATAGAAATTACTTTTAGAAGTTTAAAGTGAGGATATATATTAAAATGTCTCTATAAGAGCATCCACAGCTCCTGTCAGTGCAGGGTCATAGCATCTCAGCAAAATCTCAGACAGGCCAATGTCTTGACAGGTCTCCCTTCCTCTCCTTGCATCCCTGCTGGGATGGTAATGTGAATGGTTGGTGATTGAACAGGGGTTGGGCCTGGTAGCCGTCCCAGGTTTTACACATAAGACTGTCCTTTTCTTGCGTTGTTTGCCCTCACATTTCTAATTAGTGTCATTTATGCTAAGAAATTATTGGAGGTGCACACAGCAAATGCAGGTGAAGAGTTTCAAATGAAACTTCCAAGTGTAATTGGGGTAGGTACAGAGTTAGTGTGGCTCCCATTGATACTTGTCTGCATTGCTTTCGTATCTGGCTCCTTGCAGTTAAAAGGCACTTCCCTGCTTTATGCCTGGGGATGATTACTGTTGGGGATGAAAGGCAGACACCTCCTGGGTGGAGCAGAGCACAGTAAAACCAAACCAGGGCTTAGGGCAACAAACGTTCTGTCAGGTCTTGGTCCCCCTCGTTTATGATGAAAGCTTTTCAAAGACATGCACAGTAGTGACGTGTGTCGATCCTGTGAGACGTTCCAGGGAAGCACTATAGCAGGTTGCCTGGTAAAGACAGCAGCAGCAGTTGGGATTTCTCTGGAAAGAGGTATGAGGTGGAAGGACAGGGTAGCAGGGTCGAGCAAAGTGGACCAGAATAAGGACAGGAATTGAACCACTTCTCTCCTACCACAGGCGTAGCAAGGAATGACTCCTGTGCTAAGTGCATGTGTAGTGCCAGTGCATACCAGTTCCAGGGCCTTTTGCAGGCTCAGCAGGAAGCCTTTTTTCCCTTTCTGCTCCAAGGGAGAGACTAGAGGGAAAACTGATACAGTGCAGTGTGCTGTGTCAGGGATAAAGCCAGAAACCATT